GCGGTGTTTGTGTGTTGAGGCTGTTGTGTTCTCCGGATGGATGCGGGCTTTGAGTATCAGGCCGAATATGCGAAAAGTGGTCGGTCAAGTTGTAGATCCTGTAAGAATACCATTGCAAAGGACGCACTGAGAATAGGAGTCTTTGTTCAGTCGCATACATTCGATGGAAAAATGATCCTTTGGCATCATTGCGGTTGCTTTTTTAAAAAAAGCCAAGTGCTGCAAACAAGTGCCATAAAGAACTTCGACAAACTGAGGTTCGAGGATCAAGAGAAGATTCGAGGGCAAATAACAGGTGGGATCTTTCGGCTCTCAAATTTTTGTATTAAATGTAATCTGGATAAGTCGGACAAATGCTCAGTTTGTTCTAGAGTTATAAAGGTATTCAGAAATTTGTTATTGACCTAATCCTCAGGATTCGTTCTTTGTTGATGGAAGGCTAAGCGAACTAGGCACTGCCTATCATGTCGAATGCTTTAAAAGGAAACATCCTGAAACAGATTTTTCAAAGTACTCTTCTTAAGAGTATCTACTTTTGTAGAATCAGCGGCTTCAGCAAACTTAAGGTGCAGGAGAAGTTCGATCTGTTAGACGCTATAAAGAACGTTGAATTGTAAGTTGGTCTGTTTTGCTGGGCTGTCCTTTGCATGCCCCAAGTTTGCCCACTTATGCGAAGTTAGTATCAATCTAGGCACAATAGTTGCTGAGGCATTGTTTAGTTTCAATGCATTCGGGCAGACTTTCCCTTCATTTTTAGTGATGATCTTTGTTTCCTTCCGTTTTTAACCAGGCCTTCAGTCAAACGAGGTTCCTATGGCTCCGAGAAGTCTGAAAATCGTCTTCCAACCAAAAAATCGAAATTACCGACTGGCGAGAAAGAATCGTCTAAGTATGCCTTGAAGGCAAGTTTCAGAGTGCTTTATTGCCAATCCGGATGTGTTTTGTTTACCTGAGGAAGGTAAAAGGTAGGGCAGGACTGATTTTGCGTTCTTCCAGAAGCAGAGCAATAAACTTTGGCGTCTTCGTGAGCAGTTGGACGCGGAAGTGTCGACAAGTGCGCTGGTGGGTTTGCTTGAGTCTAACTCGCAGCTTGTGCCCTCAGGTCGCGCCGCCCTCCTTGACGCCGTTGCGGACGCGATGCTCTTCGGCGCTCTTCCTCACTGTCCCCTTGACAGCGCTCCACTAGTCTGTGTGGATGGCGGTTACCGTTGCTCCCGTCTTGCCGACCACTGGGCGCCCTGTCTCTTCTCTGCCACTGCAACCGATGCTGCTTCTCTTGCTCGCAGCCCTTTCCATGTCCCTGAGGAGTATCACGACGTCCCCTTTCTGTATGTTCAGGATGTCTTCTTTTCGTTCATCGCTCTTGAGTTCATGTTTCATGCTTGGTGAACTTTTGTAATATTGTTTTCCCCTTACAGCGCTTTCATTGCCTAACAAAGTCCAGTTTGTCTAGATTTGCCGCTACAAATGCGTCCTGTGTTGCTTACCATCTCATACCGCCAAATCGCATTGACAATTCTTGCTCAAACTCGACTTAGCAAAAATGCGAGTTGTTTTAGTGGTGGAGTGATGGTTCTTAATTTTTCAAATAGCAAGCAATTTATGTGGCGCAAATTTTGGTGATCCACTAGAAGCAAACCATTTGTGTAAAGCATGAGGACATTGCAGCATGCATTTTATCTTCCTCCTTCTCAGAAGGACATATAAGTGCAAGCCACGAGTGCGTTTATTTACTGAGTCGTCGAGTGCTTCTACCGGACTCTTTGATAAGAGAACGCCGTTAGCAGGCCTGCACTTCCTTCTCGACCGCGGGTCCTTCTCCGACGATGCAACCGAACGCCATCTTGCTGCCAGTATCAGGTCTCTTGGAGGTTCACTCCTCGACACAGTAAGTGATTGTTTATGTAGTTTTGGTCTTCATGAAGGGTGTATTTTTCGATTAAAATGTTCAGTCAGGTTATCCCTCATCATGAAGCAGACTGTAGCGTGACACTAGGTAGTTTGTGGACTTGCTTAAGTTTCTTGATTAAGCAGAGCTTTGAAGATGGCGTCCAGCCACCTGTCGTTTCTTTCACTGAGGAAATCGATTCCACATTATTTCATTGCTTTTCTCGCCCAAGATGATTCTCAGCTGCGTAGCTTGCTCCTTACATAAAACTTGCTCATTGTTGAGCACGCCAAAGCCATTCATCAATGCAGAAATAGTTTTAAACTACTTTTGGGTTGTTTCGTTCGATATTTATTTTACTGTTTACCTTAACTCTTCTCGGAGGATATCGCCTTTTTGAAGCATTAGTA